TGAATAAACTGATATATTTCACTTACAAGTACCCACTCATTTTTCCTGAAACTCAACAAAATTATTTCATCTTTTGCCATGAGGAAACAAAAACTTGATAACTTTTTTTTAGTTTTCCCTCAATTAGTCTTCACCAAAAGAAGTTTATATATTACTACCCCAAATGATCTTAAGAAGAGATTCATAAAGGACAGTCATGAAATTATTGCAACAGTTCAGTTTGAAAAAGATCAGTACCTGGACTAACAAAATAATGTTCAAAGTTCACATGACACACATCAGGCACACGAAGTGTTACCCTACCACAACCTTGCAGGGTTGTGTAATTATCTTAGCTTTATGAATGACAATATTTTGACTGAGAGAGAGAGATCACAGAATTTGGCCAGAGTCACAGAGCTAATGAATACAGGAACTGGGATTTGAACCAATTTCATAGTCTTGTTCTTTTCATGACACAATACAACACTTTGCTAGGAGGGTAGCGATAGGTACCCATGACTCAGGCTGAGTGAACTCACCCTGTTGATGACTTGGGTTCATTACCAACCAGCTGAGGAATTTTTTTTTTTTTTTTGCTGAATTTCGATAAGCAAAGCATAGCTCTTTTAATGTTCATAGCCCAAATTTTGCATGGCAGCAGCCAACAGCCCTTGACATTAGCAGCCACCTACCACTTTTCTGGCAGCCAGAGTCAGCAGCTCTCAGCAGCCCTTAGCAACCCCAGAGTTAGCAGCTCCTGGCAATTCTTCATTGGGTTTTCCATCAGTTTGACTTCTAACCACTCTTACTGTTATCAGTTCTGGCTGATTTTAGGACCAGGAGCCTTCAATTTTAACAGCTCTTAGAGTTACTAGCTAAGCATGCTCTACTTGAGATGGAAATCATGAACAGAGAAAAATATGCTACCTAAAGGAAGCTTTATTTGAACTTATATGCAGCACGTGGGGAAACTGCATAGACTGACACAGTGATGGTATGGAGAAGTCACAAGAAAGAATAGGTAGACTCAAGCATAGATAGCATCCTTCTAGATAACTCCAGAATTTCTCGGTCATGAGTAGGAGAGAAGCTGCTTGTGGCCTGAACTGAGGAAGGCTGCAGAGAAGCAGAGTAATCCAGAAAGGCTCTGGGGCAGAGTCATCTGGGATGGACCAGTGCCAAAGCTTACCACAGCCAAAGCAGAGCATCTCATGTAGCCATGGCTGTCATGAGGTGACTGGGAAAACTGGAACACCAAATACAAGAGAAGGGCAAGTGAATTTTATGAAAGTACCTCTTGGGAAGGATCGGGACCTTCTCTTCATCTCAGGTTGGCAGAGTGAAGGGAAGTTATTCTGTTATCATGCGAAAGAATCTGGTCCACACACAAGAAAGGACACAAACACTGGAGGATTTTCAGCAAAAGTGTGATATGATCAGATTAGTGAAATTTGGAAATTTTTGAGACAGTCTTCCTCATACATGATGTACACATGATCTAAATCAGCGGATACTGGGAGAAATCTTTTTTTGTTTTTGGTTTCTGAAACAGAAATTCCCAAGAGTCTCTAAACCAAGTGTTGTGTTTTTGTCTAACTTGTGAAGCCTTGTTTCAAAAGTGGCTGTGAAGGGACTCTTGGAAGCATCCGTGGATTTTTAATATGTTTATGGGATAGTTCTTTATTCTGATGGACGGCTTAAAGCCTAAGTGTCTGACCCATGACCAAGTGTCCTTCTAAAACAAAACTTGTTTTTACTGGCAATTATCTTTGCAGCTCTTGTCTGACCTCAATCAATTATTCCTACCAAGATAGGCATTCTCGGAGCTGCTTGCACAGATCAGGGGAAACACACAGAACACACAACTCCACAAAAGATGGGAAATAACAGAAGCAGTATATTTCTGATAGGTTCCAGAGACAAGAGAGTAGAGAACTTCACAATCCCAAGGGGAAGAAGGCCAGGCATTAGGGAGCCACATCTAGGACCCACATGCTCAACTATTAGGTAGGGAACAATAGAGAGGGTGACCTGCAAGCAAAAGCCTTTACTAGGGCCCAGGGAGTTTCCTAATGAAATTTTCCAAAAGGAATTTGAATTGGTGGATTTAGAGCAGCATGCACAAGTGCCAGGAACTCACACCTGGTACTGAGGGTGGGTCATTTCAGTATATCCATGTGGCTGATATGGGGTGTGGGTGGTTAGTGGGCAAGTTCAGGGGGCTATAACTGGGATTCCCTGGGGAGGAGGTCAGCAGAATACAACTGCACAAAGAACACCAATCCTAACAGGAGCTAAGTAGAGTATAAAACTAGACACTATGTCAAGGATAACAAAGCCCTGCCTCTAGTAAAAGAAAGTCCAAATTATAGTCTCATTGCATGCCAAGGCAACATAAAATGATAAGGATTAACTTCCCAGGACTCTTCAAACTCAGCGGTATTGATATTTGGGCCAAATAATTCTTTGTGGTAGGTGTGATACTATGCATTGTGGATGCTTTCCTGACACTTACCCTCCAGATGACGCTGGAGCCCATACCTCCTTTAGTTGTGACAACTAAAAATGTATACAAACAATCATCTCAGGCTTGGAGTCATTGAAAATGACAGTAACTTTTAAATACTTCATTAAAACTAAAACATAGAAATGCTTGTAACTGAACAGTATGAGACAAATACAGCCATAGTAATAGTCGGTATTCTATTTTATAGAGACTATTTGACAGATGTCTGGGAAAGTAGACCTGAAGTCAGTGTTGAGAGTCAGGGCAAAATAAGCACCTCAGATGAGTGAGTTTGATATGTCACAGAGCACCCTGTATCTATTTTTGTACCTGAAGTGACAAAGTTCTAATCTGCTCAGATATGACTGGCTGACCCTTTGATTGCTTTATTCATCTGTTCATTTAAAATCTCTTTTATGCCAGGGTTTTCTGACTACACTCAGAACCTAGCAAACATCCTTGCTACACTGAGCAAGATAATGTGGCTCTGCTTTAAGCTAGGGTACTTCACACAGAATACGCAAGAGATTTAGATTCAACTGATCTTTTTGAAAGTTAAGAAAACAGCAGAAGTTACCATTTAGGCAACAAACACCACAAAGCCGTGATGGAGCTTTTCCTCCAGTTGCAAACATAATGTTTTCATGTTTTCTTACATCTTTCCATTCAGTTAGACCATTCACATCAAGCATTCAGTGGATTCATTTCCCAGCTTCTATTTAGAGAACATTTGGTAGCGGCCAAATGAAATACGTTAATGCATATCATCTGTATCTACAGTAACCCCAGAATTAGTTCTCTGCTTAGGTCTTCCAGTAGTGCCATTCTACGTACTGCTAAGGATCATCTAGCATCCAAAAAGAAAGCACATTCTCACAACAAAACAATGGATGAGAGAGCATCATATCACTCAGAATATTATTGCTATCAGTAAGAAAAGTCACTAGCGGAATGAACTGTTTAAGCCATGCGCAGTGAAGAATTCTGATGTTTTACTTGTACCACCTTCCCAGTCACTCTCACACCCTTCCAGTGGCCCAAGACACCTTGAAGACTGGCTCCTATCCTGACCCAAGCCTGGAGTGATGGCAGAAGCATATGAGGAGGCCAGTTGACTTCTTGACCCTACCCAATCATTTGGTGGCTGTCACAGGGATACCAAATGTGAAGCAGAAGGTTGTCAGAGATGAGTTGGGTTCTGAGAGAAGCTCTGAGGGCAATGGAAATCCTAAAGAGCCTCCAGGGATCCATCCATCTTCCCGAAGAGCCTTGTGAACTGCAATTCAGAATCAGGTGCGCCATCTTGAGAAACCATCCCACATTCCAGGAAAAATTAGTTTAATGTTCCCACATAAAAAGATCTGGAGCCAGGTGGAGGATCATTATATGAGCACACACCGTGGAACTAAAAAGGTTTGCATGCTGCTGGAAGGAATTTATGGGGAAATTTATTACAGATTCTCTTCTTATGTAAATGGCGGGCCCATATGATGAGCTCAGTGTAAGTAGCAAGGCCAAGAAAGGTTACTGGGGCCAAATATCATTAGTTTCCCCTTTGAGAAATAAGATATTCTTCATCCAGATATTCTTTTGTGTCCTGTGAAGGGAAGGAGGGCTAAAGCAAAAAAAAAAAAAATTCAAACCTTCTGCCTAAATAATCACTTTGCCTTTGGAGGAAATTCTGTCCATTTCCAAATTCTTTCTGCAAACTGCGATGAACTGAAAAACCGGAGGGATGGGTAGAAGGGTAAATGGTACAGGCTAGCAAATTCCATGGTGCTGAGTGGGAAGAGGGTCTTCAGTATTTAAGATTTTTCCTTTTCCTTCAATTTTAAGTGCTTGGAATTTGGGGATCTCTTTATAATACAATGACTCTGAGACCATAAATATTATAACGTCTCAACAGCACAGTGTAGCAACAAAGCACGGATTTGGATGCTAAACAAGTTCAGGGTCTATTTCTGGCCCTGCCATCTGTTAACAGGTCATTTTAACGACTGAAAACAACAAAAGTTAACAACCAAAGTCTGTGGTTCCTATACTTCCTGCTGCCACTGGACCCATTTTTTCTAGAGAGAAAGTCACTTCAGTGGCCCCAAGACCTTGCTCTCTCCAAACATACGACTGTAAATTGCCCTTCCTTACACTCTACTGCAGTTAGGTTTCCCTCCACCACTGTCCCTGGAATAAGCAGAGCACACTCCTGCTACAGGACCTCTGTAACACCAAACCCTCTGAAATGCTCAGATTCTCACATTTCCTCTGCTTATCATAGAAAATTTCCATATTTAAAATGGTATTGGTTCACCATCCACGTTTCTGTTCCCTGTGCCAAGATGCCTCTACCCCTTGACCTATTTTATTTCTCTCCATATCACTTATTGCTAACTGAAATGAACTGTAGGCATTTGTTTTTACACTGTCTGCATCCTGCCCAAGGGAAAATGTTTGTCGGTTTTATTTACTGCTATATCCCTAGCAGGTAAAGCAGTGATGGTGAATCTTTTAGAGCTTTCAGTGACACAAATGGTCTGCTGCAGCAGGCATGCCATAACTGTCACCACTGACCTACAACAAGGCCTGCCTGGCATGCAGCCATGACTATGTGAATGAAACTAGCCACCAGCTATATGCCAAGCTCTTTCCAGAGGTAAGTGTCTCTGATTCTTACAACAATTTTATTGTATTTCTTACTTCTTTCGGTCAAGAATTCTGGCCAGTTCTCTGCTGGGTAATTCTTTAGTTTCGTGTGGTATCAATGGAAACTGTTCGATGGTATTTAGAGTAAGACAGGATGGTCTGGAAACCGGTCTGTTTCACTCACACATCTGACACTTTGGCAGGGAGTGCCAGCAGGGACTGTCAACCAAAGTATCTACAAAATTAGAAAGTCATATCAGAAAGCAATACCAGAAAGGCATCTCAAAATATTTTGAGCAGTGACAGTAGTACTGAAATGACATTTGTCTTCTGGGCAATATAACATCTACATGTCCACATTCAATATGCTTTTTGAAACAGTCAATCTCTTAACTCAATGTCATATTTTATGTGCTTATTTATTTAATCATTAAAAATAACTGACATATGGAAAAGAAAAGCAGTCTCTAGGCACAAATATAGTGGAAAGTTTATTCTGTGGTCTTGGAATCAAACTCACCAGGAATTACCTTTAAATTCAGCCACCAATTAAGTCAAAGCATTAAGGTTTTATGACCCCAAAACAACAACATAATGAAAGATAAAAGGCCAAATAGTAAAAGAATATCTAAGTCATCTCATACATTTTAAACGTTAGGTATATGTCGCAGAATCTCAAGTTGAAGTGAAAAACAGCTGTGATAGTTTCTTAAGAAACTTAAGTGCCCAAATTTAAGAGCATATAGTATCTATATCTTCTCTTGCATCTCCTTCTGCATTGATGGGTAGTGTACAGAAGACATAATTCAAAGAGGGGCATAGAGCCAGGGCTCCCTGAATTAGTTTTATCTGAAAAACAAAATCCCAACCCATGATTTTATTAAAAGCATCCTTCTAAATACCCATATGGAGTTCTGCCAACAGAAATTCTTCTGTCTCTCAGGAAGCATACAGACATGCTTCTTCCTTCATTCACACACAATGAGGCAAGTTGATGCCATGCGTGACAATATGTTTAATTCAGCAGTGTGCATTTGCTTGTCATTTCTGAGTATAGGAGGCTCCCATGAGCATTCAGGATAATGAGGGGAGACTGCCAACGCATTCACTGGAGTGGGCTTCCCCAGCAAGGGGCAGCACTTATGCTGCCTGATCTGCTCTTCTCTCGTTGCCACAAACAGCATGTTTAAACTTTTCTTTCATCCTCAGATTCTTTGTGTGGGATTAATATTCATGATGTACCCTGCATCCTTTTTAAAAGTTTGCATTCTCTGATATGTTAGAAGGGGATTTATCCTTTTTCCTATTTGATTTAAAAGCACATGCAATTTTGGAATTCATCTATTGTATTATTGTTGATTTTTAGCAAGAACACTTATAATGATGCAAACCACAATTAACTGAGCAATTTCTATGTCAGAAGTTATCTATGAATTTTACATAAACTGATTCAGTAAATCTTTATAGTGACCCTATAACTGCCCTTTTTAGTAACCCCTGTTCAACTGAAAATCAGAACTCAGAGAGATGGGAAATTCTCCTGACAACACTCAGCTCTTAAGGATAAAGCTAATATTTGGTTGTGGGAAATCTAGTCCAGAGCTGGCAATCTTGATATGCAAGAGGTGGTCAAAAATATAATTAAAATTTTAAGCTATTAAAATAAATAACATATTGACAAGAATGATGGGATAAATTTATTTGAATTGAGAGAGAGCAATTGGATATTATGAACAGAATTAATAGCAATGCATCATTGTGATAAATGTTTTATTTAAATATTCACCAGCATGCTAAATCTATATCCATATATATATATAAGTCTTTAAAACATGAATTTGTCTTAACCTGAAGTGATAGATTGTGAAACTATAATGATCCTAAATGCAGTGCACAACAAAGAACTCAAAGATTCTGTTAGTGCTCTGTTTCTAAGGATGTATTCTTGGTGCCTATGACCATTCCTAGGCCATCTGCTTGGGAATGACTCCTGCACTTATATTTCCAGCCTCGACCTTATCACTGAATTCCAAACTACTTTATCCACATGCATACTCAATATAAGGATCTCTGCGCTATTATTCGTTGATACACAGCCAACACCAAAAGCAGTACTTGGCATATCGTAGGCACTCAAAAATATTTGCTGAGTCAATGAATTGATATTTAAGTCATCTAAAATAAAATACATTTTTAAAAACTTTGCCCAAGTTCTTCGTCTATATTTGTTCTTCCTCTATATTTGATCCTTTGGCCTGGTTGTTTGGTCCCAAGCCTCACAATAATTCCTAATTCCTCTGTGTCACCCCCACAGCCAACCCATTAGTAGCAAGCAGTGTTTTCACCAACTGAAAAGTATATACCCAATCTTTCTACTTGTCTCCAACTCCCAAATCTAAGCCAACACTGTCTTTCACCTTCTAATAGCCTTCTTTGTCTTTATACTTCCTCAAACCTAACTCTGTAGTCCATTCCTTGCTCAGCATCTGATTTTTAATAATTTTAAACATAAATGAGTCCACATCTTATATTACTTAACTTTCCTATTTTGGGGACCAAATACTCAACACCCAAAACTTAATGTAGGGAATTGTTTATGTAGCTCATGCTTTCAGATGATTCAGTTGGGTCTAAGGCAAAAACTTCTGATGGAAGAACATGGTGGAGGAAAGACACTCACTCAGTTCATGATAGACAGGAAGTAAATCCAGAGAAGTGGCGAGAGAGACACCAGATAAAGTACCCAAGGCCACACCTCCACACACTACCCCAAAACACTCAGTTTAATGTAAAATATGATGTTTGCATTTGTATTTAAATGAATGAGAAAGAAAATATGTTTATTTGTATAAATACACAAAGTTAATTCCAGTGCACACTCTAAGGGAAGTTAGTTTTTAAAGTATCTGCATCAGATCTCAATATTTCAGTGCTATTTGATTAGATTGTGAGAGATCCAATCTAGAGTCCATACCTCAACACTCGTTACTTAGTACCTAAAATATTGCTATTCAAAAGGCAGAGTACTTACCAAAGAGATATCAGATTATTGATATAATAAGAATATTCCAATGTAGGCAACTGGTTAGAAATCTTATTTTTAAAAAGAAATCTTATAAAGGCTGCATTGTCCTTAAATGAACACAATATAAATAACTAGTTAGTCCAGGATTGTAACTCCAGGAGTGAAGTGCTCTGGTTTCTAGCCCAGTTGAATGGATCCCTCCACTCCACAGACACCTGTGGCCAGACTATCTCTGAGGCTGTCTAGGATAGTTATTGGGGTATATTCACCTCTGATCCATAGTCTGTTTCCCAGGCAGGTATTAACTAGAACAAAATGGTAGAACTGAAGAACCAGTTATATGCCTGCCTCATACCTGTGTGTTAGGTGTTTGGGCAACTCATTAGAAGTTGAGATGGCTTTTCTACAACCTTAGTTTGAGTTCTGTTAGAAGCAGATTCTGAAACAAAGACTCAAGCCCCAGTGCATTACTGGATTGGGGTTCAAGGCATGGGTAGGAACATAGAACACAGGAAAAGGAAGGTGATCTCAGGGATGTATATACTGTTTCCCATGAGCTCTTGATTAAGGAGTAGTCCTGTAGTTAGCCACGTTGTTGGATAGAACGCCCTTGCCAAATTCTGCAGAAAAGCCTGCAGGAATGACAATGCAGAGGCTGACAGTATTAACTAGGCAGAGCACCGAAGTTTTCCCTAAGGCCTGAGGGTGACAGGCATGACATTGACTTTGTGTGTTCCATAAAAATGACACCTGACTCAATAGTTGTAAGTGAAGGCTCCACAAATCCCACTCCCGTCTATCTACCATAGGTTACCAACACATAGTAAAACCATCTGCTGCCACTTGCTGATGTGAGACTTAAGACACCTTCCTGAAGGGGGGTTTATCTGTTTATTTGTTTATTTGGTTTGCTTGCTTCCTCTGGATGAAATGTTTGTAGGCCATGCCTCAAGAAAAAGTATCCTAAAAACTTGATAGTACAAATTTTAAAACAGCTTATTTCTCCCCTTTCTCTGTATAATTTTTCTGGCAAACTTAGCTCTCTGTAAGTTTTTCTAATACAAAGAATATACTCAAGGTGAATGTCAAGCTTTATCACACAATCCCCCATGCAGAGAACTTTCAAGAGGCTCTCAAGGGGAAGATGAGCTTTGTTTTTCCTCCCAAGTCTCCATCCCCAGTGAGGGAGGGTACAGGGTAAAGTTGATGGATACCAAACACCCCTCCTGAACAGGGAAGGATCAAAATATGAAACCAGATATGGAATCTAGCATTGAGCACTTTATCAGGTGTCTATTGCTGCAGCTGCCTGTGCAACAAACAACTACGGAGCTTCTCTTTTGGTCATTTTGTCATCAGTAAGGCAAAATACCTATACCTACAATTTAAAGGGGAAACATTGATATTGGCCATGGTTGGCTGACTGCAAGGCAGAAGCAACATGCCAGAGTAGTCTAGCAGGAGAAAATGGCTCATATCACAGTGGCCAGGAAGGAGAGAGAGAAGGGAGGAGCCTGAGAGGGACACATACCCTTAAAGATAATACCCACAGAAACCAACATCCAAGCAGAGCCCAGCTCGTAACAGCACGTTTAGCTACTGAACTCAGTGGCTGAGTTCACTGATAAGTTAGTGCCCCTGTGATGCAGTCACCTTACAAAAGTCCCATGTGAAGCACTGAGGGGTACATTCTCAATCTAAATCAAAATAAGCTATATCTAATAGCAAATTTGCTATTTATATGACTGAGGTCACTTGGGGGTTAGTAGTCAGGTGGCCACTGGCAGGGAGCAAATGGGACACTCTGCTCTGTTAGGGCGTCATCTTTCAGGAGGCATGGCCAGATCCTGCTCACAGCAATGGCTAAGGGGCATGAGTGAGCAAGCCCAGTCTCACAAGTCCCTTTGAAACTGCTTGTTCTATGTTAGATAACATCCTATTGGCCTCATGCAGCAGTGTGCTGGAGCCACTTCTCTGACTTGCAA